GTTCCTGTCATAAGTTCCTAAAACCCTTTGAATTTTGAATGATAGGAGTGTCTTTTGTTATTGCTAATAAGACTCTTTGATAACCCTTGAGTATATGTTAATGAGGTTATACTCATTATAGGTTGGGGCCCCTAGATAGCCTCAGGATGGTGCTAGTCACCAGAAAGACCAACTGATGAAAAGATTAGTGTGTTGGAACTTCCACCCTGACCTGTCCATTTCTGGGAAGGTGAAGGGGAGTTGGAGATCAAGCTCTATAAAAACTCTTGAACGATGAGCTTCTTGTTTGCTGAATGTGTGGAGGTGCTGGGAGGGTGGCATACACCTGGAGAGGGCATGGACTCTTACCACCAAAACCTGCTACATACAACCCTATTCATCTCTTCATCTAGCTATTCGTCTGTAGCCTTTATAGTATCTTTTATAATAGATTGGTAAATGTGAACTGTCCTAGCAAATTAATCAAAATCAAGGAGGGGGTCATGGGAGTCCTGGTTTCCAGCTGGTCAGTCAGAAGTAGAGGTAACAACCTACTATGTTGCAGTGAGCCGAAATCTGGCCACTGCACTCCAGCCTGGGTGACAGAGCAAGACTCCGTCTCAAAAAACAAACAAACAAAAAAAACCAACCTACTATGTGTGATTGGCATCTGAAGTGGAGGGCAGTCTTGTGGGACGGAACCCTCAACCAGTGGATCTGACACCATCTCCAGGTAGATCCCATCAGAATCGAATTGAATTATAGGATACCCAGTTGGTGTCTGCTGGAGATTAGTTGGTGTTGTTAAATTAAGTTTAGCCTAGGCAGGGCACAGTGGCTCATGCCTGTAATCTCAGTACTCTGGGAGGCTGAGGCCAGAGGATCACTTGAGGCTAGGAGTTTGAGACCAACCTGGACAACATAGTGAAACGCCATCTCTACTAAAAATACAAAATTAGCCAGGTGTGGTGGCGCATGCCTGTAATCCCAGCTACTCGGGAGGCTGAGGCACGAGAATCGCTTGAACCCTGGAGGTGGAGGTTGCAGTGAGCCAAAATGGTTCCACTGCACTCCAGCCTAGACAACAAGAGAGAAACTCTGTCTCAAAAAAAGGTTTAGCCTAAAGTTGCCTTGGCTGGGCGCAGTGGCTCACACCTGTAATCCCAGCATTTTGGGAGGCTGAGGCAAAAGAATTGCTCGAGGCCAGGAGTTCATCTCTACTAAAAATTAAAAAACAAAATTAGCCAGGCATGGTGACGTGTGCCTGTAGCGCCAGCTACTCTGGAGCCTGAGGCAGGAGGATTGCTTGAGGCCAGGAAGTTGAGGCTGCAGTAAGCCATGATCATACCACTGAACTCCAGCCTGGGTGACAGAGTGAGACCTTGTCTCAAAACAAAAATTAAATAAATAAAGCTGCCTCCCTATGTAAGTTCAGGCTAAAGGTTTCTCTATGCATAGTGAACTGCAACCTAACTGGATATGTCAACAGACTGTAACTTACTGTTATACCACAGAGTCTCAGCCAATCACACGTGGCCAACTCTTCAAACCCTGTTTAAATGAGGCAAATGCTGAGCTGCAACCAATCTGGCTGTTTCTTCCCCTGACTTCCATTTTCTGCACATCACTTTCCTTTTTCTGACCGTAAATGTTATCCAACCATGTGGCATCCCCAGAGTCATTTTGAATATGTTCTGGTTCTGGCAGCTGCCTGGTTCGAGAATCATTTTTGCTCAGTTAAACTCTGTTAAATTTAATCTGTCTAAAGTTTTTCTTCTCACAGAATGTAGAAAACATATCTGGTCACAGAAGCATTCTGTGTTGAGTGGAAGAGTAGAAATTTTAAAACTTTGTTTTTCTTTCAGAGTATCACCCTCCAATTTGTTCAGCCAAGTTCCTACAAGTCTTCCCTCAGATACCCTTGCTCCACTGTTTGGAATTACCCAAACCTGCCATGTGGCTGTCCTTCCTGGCTCCCATGCCTGGAAACCCAGGCCCCACCCACCAATCAAGAGAACCACTACCCACTTACTCTCAGCTCAGGCGAATGGCTTCTCTAACACCTCCCTAGATTTTTGTTGTTGTTCCTTGAACAACATTATTTCTTTCGTAAAAAATTATTATTTTTTTTAATTCAATTTTTCTAATTGAGACAGGGTCTTGTTATGTCGCCCAGGCTGGTCTCGGACTTCTGGGCTCAAGTGATCATCCTACCATGGCCTCCCAAAGTGCTGGGATTACAGACATAAGACACCTCGCCCAGCCTGAACAACAAAATTTCCATTGCCAAGTTCTTTGTGAGTACCTATGCTATATTCTTAACAGGTATATATTTTAATTATTTGAATGCATATCTGTCCCTCCGCTAAACTGAGACGATTGAGAGCAGTGTTGTGTTTTATTTATTCTGTCAGTACCTAGAACTAGCTAATTTAGATTCTTGGTCAAATAAACAAAACTGGCCATCAGGTATAAAACTATGCCTTGAAAATCTTAAATCCGTTGTCATTCAAAGTACAGTTGGCCTTTAGTATCCAGGGGCTCCACATCTGTGGATTCAGCAAACCATGGATCAAAAACATTGGGGAAAAAAAAGGGATGGTTGTGTCTTTACTGAACATGTACAGACTTTTTTTTCTTGTCATTATTCCTTAAACAATAACAACCATTTACATAGCATTTACATTGTATTAGGTATTATAAGTAATCTAGAAATGATTTAAAGTATACAGGAGGATGTGCATAGGTTATATGCAAATACTATACCATTTTATAGAAGGGACTTAAATATCCAGAGATTTTGGTGTCCAAGAAGGGGTCCTGAAACCAATCCCCCAGGGAGACCACGGGATGACTGTGTATCTATTCCTTACTAAAATATTAAATCCTTAGATACTTTTGCTCCCTCTTAGAGTCTGCATACTCCTCATGACCTGGCCCACAAGAAAGAACTCTGGCTAAAGTATAGAAGGCTGGCCTCTCACTAGACAGCTGTGTCACTCCAACTATGCCATTTAACTTCTTTGAGCATCAGATTCCTAATCTGGAAAATGTGGATCACTGAGGCCCTTTACACTGTGAGCCAAACCCTATATACAAGAGGTTCACACTTTTTACCACGTGGCACTTGAAGACCGTTTCCCTGTTTGAAAATAAAGGGATAATAGTGGGAGCAAGATATAAGAGACAACACATCAAGTTTCATGGTTTTATTTAACTCGTGGAACAAAAATGAACCAGATTAACTGCAACTTTATCAAATGTATAAGAAGTAAATATGAATCTTATATGACAAAATGTTTTACTCATTATAACAAATTTCCAATAACCCCATCAATTATATTTCTAAATTTTTCCTCCAAATTCTAAGCACAGTATGTAAATTGGAAGTTAACTTATATATGCATAACTATCTTATCAAGCTTCGAGTGCAAGAGATTGAAGAGTTCAATCTGATGAAGATGTTGATGTTGGATATGAGAATTCTCTGCTCCCCACCTCTAAGTTGCCAGCCCTCCTAAAGCTAGCTGCCCAGATACCTCAAACATGGAGATAGCACTCAAAGTAGAATTATAAAGAAGATCATGCCTGTGTTAACATTATTATAACTCTGAATTTTTTGCATAAAGTGTATAAGCATATCAATATTAAAAAGCAAGGAAGCAGAATTTGGAATTCATCCAATCCAAATGCGGCATCTTCAAACCTGAAAAGGAAAGAAAAAGGTGAGCAAATGAATTTATTTTATTTGGATTGCAGATCTCATTACCAAACCTGTCTAACTTCTACTGTGTAGATCACCTTTTTAAAAGAAGTAACTACGGACAGTTCTCCAAACCCATTACAAAGAGTATATCCTGTTAGTGTATCCGTTTGGTGCTGCCAAAATCTTAGAAGAAAAAATGCTGATATGATATTTTGGTCAGTGCTGGACTGTATATATGACAGTGGTCTCATGAGATTAAAATAGCGTACTTTTTACTGTACCTTTTCTATGTTTAGATACACAAATACCATTGTGTTACAGCTGCCCACAGTATTCAGTACAGTAACAGGCTGTACAGGTTTGTAGCTTAGGAGCAATAGGCTAGACCATGTAGCCTATGTGTGTAGTAGGCTACAACACCTAGGTTTGTGTAAGCATTTCTTGGAATATGTCCCCGTCATTAAGTAACACATGACTATATTCGAGTTCAAGTCCTGGCTCTACAATTTACTACCAGTGTGACTGGGCAGATCATCCACCTTCCTGATGCTCTCCCAAATCAATTCCCTGTTCTAGAATATAACAGGAGATTTGAATGGGTTTTCAGCATCAAAGTACCCTGGGCAGTAGAATTTCACTGAAAAGCTGGATCTTATACATTTGGACTCCAACTAAAGATGCAGAGAAGTCCAAGTTCCTCCCTCTCTCTTGCTTCTGGAGTTCTTTGTAGTTACATCTATTGTAGTATCACTACATCAAGTTTTAACAATCTGGTTCCCTTTATCTCATCTAGTGGCCTGGGAGCCTCTAAGAGGCAAACACAGTCCCCACACAGGAATGGGACGTCTGCAGAACTGTATAACTCCTCTCTTCTGTCTGAAGAATAAAACAACTATTATACAAAGGAAGAGAGTGATTCATTTTCTCTTCTCAGCAGAGATGTCCAATGTGGAAATGGTAGAAGAAAGATCAAAGCCTTGCAGGTAATGTGGGTAACCACCTGCCTCTATCCTGCAATACCATACTGGCAGTTCCTTTGCCCTCTCTGTAGAGGGTCAGTAATGTGGCCACACCCGGGGCTACACACCTTCTTCATACCACAGGAGAAGGAAATGTGACCCTGTAGGATTCTTCTTTGCCTGCTAAAATGCTACTCTGTCAATGTTCTCCACATAGTGAGGGTTATCCTGTTAGAACTGTCTATAAATAGTCCTCAGGATAGTGAAACAAAAACATTTTCTTAAGGTCAAAAACTTACCTCCATGATGCTGCTTACATGTCTCGATCTATGAAAAAGACAGTGGAGAAAGAAAAAAGAAGACATTAAGTTATACTTTTAAAATACCATGTACTAACAAATGTCTAAAATGGTTAGAAATAAGGCTGGCAGAATAGGCTGCTGTTCCTATCCATGTATACCTTGTTTAGAGCTACCCAGCTGGAACATGCCCTTCCTACTAGCCTCAGATACCAATCCAGCCAGAGAGTACTGGAGGAGTCCAGGATTATAGGACGCTAGGATACACAGGACTTACAAACAAAGGTCTATACCTTCTTGAGATGTTCGTTAGTGCTCAATATACCTGAAGCTGCCACGAAAGCTAGAGGAAGCCAGTAGGTAAGAAGTGTTAAGAGTGCATATGTATTCATGCAAGTGCTGCTGCTGCTCCCTGCTCAACTGCAGGGAAACTACTGGTTCAGAAACCATGCTGTGCAGCAATCTCTCAGCAGATGCCACTAATCTGATCTTTAAGAACATTCCCTGACAATCCCAATATGCAGATTGTTTATATCAGATGGGATGGGACTCATTCAGGGTAGTATGGCCATAGACTTTTTTTTATATCAAAGCAGCTTTATGATATGACTACTCATACACAACTTTCAGCAGCTTACAAAAGAATGTAAGACTTACCCCACTTAACTGTCCTGGGCCCTGACAAAGTCACATGGTTCACACGGCAGGCATACTCATCTTTTTCATTGGGGGTGAATTCAGTGTAGTACAAGAGATAGAAAGACCAGTCTTTGCTGAAAGACAAGTCTGAATGCTCCACTTTTCCCATTTTCTCTCCATTCTTCAGTAAGTCAACTTCAATATCAGATGGATGAAACCCAGACACATAGCAATTCAGGAAATTTGGCTTTCCATTCTCTGGTGGATGGCGTGAGTAAACCTGAATCTTTGGAGTACCTGAGGAACACAGGGAAAAGACACATTAATATTGCCAGGGTATTTCACTTGGGGCTAACTTGGTCTCAAGCTCCATCAGGCACCAAGTGTTTACATTTGATCATCGATTTCTCCCAATTCCATTTCCACTCTGGCCAAATGAGCTTCCCCTTTCCCAACAAGCCACCTCCATTTTGAGGAATAAACCATTACTTGGTATCTTTCCCTCATAATTCCTCTATACATGACTTTTTTGTTTTTTTCTAGCAGATTTCTAGCAGTATCTTCTGTCACTGGAGATTGTGCTGCATTTTTAAGAACCTTTTTCTGGATGCTCTCAAGCACTTCTGATGGCTTCTCAGCACTCATAGCATTCTTTAACACATCACTCAAGAGTCTACATGATTTGGCTCCAAGCTACTTTTCAAAGGTCATTTCTCAGTTCATAGTAGCCCCATCAAATTACTCCTGTTACTGTACTCTGTTTCCACCCCTTCCATTTTTTTTCCTTATGTTTACTCCTTTCTTTTTGGTTCCTGCTCCTGCCTCGATCTACACCCACCTGATTTTCTAAACTGTATTAAGTGTCTAGAAGAGTGCCTGGGATATAGCAATTGCTCTATACGTGGCAGATGTTATTATTATTACCTCAGGTTCCTAAGCGGATCAACCCAAGGTATGTTTTATTTTGTTGTTTTTGTTGGTTTTTTGTTTGTTTGTTTGAGATGGAATCTCATTCTGTTGCCCAGGCTGGAGTGCAGTGGCGAGATCTCAGCTCACTGCAACCTCTGCCTTGGTTCAAGTGATTCCTGGGACTACAGGCACACACCACCATGCCCGGTTAATTTTTGTATTTTTAGTAGAGACGGGGTTTCACCATGTTGGCCAGGCTGGTCTCGAACTCCCAACTTCTAGTGATCTGCCTGCCTTGGCCTCCCAAAGTGCTGGGATTACAGGCATGAGCCACTGCGCCCGGCCCAATCCAAGGTATGTTCTTACGAAACAACAAAACCTCTTTATTTCTGCCGAGGGTTTATATGCCAGATCCCTCTCTGATTTTGTACCTAATTTCATGAGCTAGAAAACAAAGAAACAAAACCTAAATGCATATAAGAGCTGGCAAATACCTTAAATGGTTGAGTTGGGCCGGATAAAATACAACAGGGATAGGTGAGGACTATGGCAAATGGGACAGAACATAGTTTTCATTATGATCAAATGGAGTAATGCATGTGACAGTGGGATTTGCGTTTTAATTAGCATCCACAGGTGATTGCTGTAAACTAGCCAGGTTGGGAATACATTGCCTAATGTTACAGAAGCAGTGCTTTCCAAAATGAGAGGCATGACTAGACCATCCATGGGGAAGTGGAAAGAAAATATTATAAACTCTATATTTTTCATCGAAAATGAAGAGAAGTGTTAGTGCTACTAAATATACAGACTGACACTAAATATATGTGTATACAATTCTTTTAAATACACTTATATTCAGGGTACATGATCCTAAAAGGCAGCTACTCCATCATGTCTGGAAGGTTGTGGGGAGAAGGAGTACCAGGCCACCTTGACCAGATATATCTCTCTAGAAACACCCTATCATCAAGGAAAGGCTACTAGTCCCATCGAGAGGTGGATTGGGGAATCTAATGAAGACCTGATTTTTTTCATAACATTAAAAGCTAAGAGAGCTCTTTGCAACTGAGCTTCTAATAATAAGAACATAATAAATGCCTCAGGGGTTAGAGCGCAGATTCATCCTGCCTGGAACTCTGTTTGAGGGAAGGCAGCAAGATTTTGTGAGAGCATCACTGTAATCTTTTCTAAGAAGAGGACAAGTATCAGACAGACTGGGTTTGAATTGGGGCTCAACCAGTTACTGGCTTTGTGACTTTTGGAGAGTTATTTAAGCTTACAAAACTTAACTGAAAAGTTAATTTATGCCCACAGTAAAACAAAACAAAACCACACACAGGACAGAGGGGAAAATAGACCTTCAGAGGTAATCACCATTACATGCTTCTTGTGGTATCTTCCAGAAATGGTCTATGCATGGCATGTATTACTTTGGAAATTTTCAAAATAAGATTTTTTTAAAAACAACTGATTGTTATTTTTTAAAACGACATCTAACATAACCAGCAAATGGCAGTAATGGTGATGATATAGACATTATCCTTTATGTTGTAAATAAATTGTATTCAAATTAAATGCAATTTTCTCATGATCAAAACATTCTGTTTTTGATCATGTTTTGCCAGGGGGAAAAGGTGAGAGGGCTTAGCGTATTGCCAGGTATTTAGAAAGTACTCAAGATCTTTGGTGTCCTCAACAGTCTTGGTAACCATCTTGGATTATCTTTTTTTTTTTTGAGACAGTATCACTCTGTCGCCCGGGCTGGAGTGCGGTGGCTGGATCTCAGCTTACTGCAACCTCCGTCTCCCGGGTTCACGCCATTCTCCTGCCTCAGCCTCCCGAGTAGCTGGGACTACAGACGCCCGCCACCTCGCCCGGCTAGTGTTTTTGTTTTTTTTTTTTTTTTGTATTTTTTAGTAGAGACGGGGTTTCACCGTGTTAGTCAGGATGGTCTCGATCTCCTGACCTTGTGATCCGCCCGTCTCGGCCTCCCAAAGTGCTGGGATTACAGGCTTGAGCCACCGCGCCCGGCCGGATTATCTTTATTAATGGTTTTACAACTCCCCTGACTTCGACAAACCTTCACTTTTTTCTTTCTTCTTCTTCTTCTTTTTTTTTTTTTTTTTGGTCTTTTTTAAGAGACAGGGTCTCGCTCTGTTGCCCAGACTGGAATGCACTGGCGCCATGATAACTCAAACTCCTGGGCTCAAGAGATCCTCCCGCCTCAGCCACCCGAGTAGCTTGGGCCACAGGCGCCAGCCACCACACCTGGCTAATTTTTGTTTTTATTTTTTATAGAGACGAGTTTTCACCATGTTGGCCAGGCTGGTCTCAACTACTGACCTCAAGCGATCCTCCCGCCTCGGCCTCCCTAAGTGCTGGGAATACAGGCGTGAGCTACCACGCCCAACCCCCTCATGTTTTCAAAACCGAAAGTAAGAGGCACACTACATCTCGGAAAGAACCAGGCAAAGAGCCAAAAAGGAAGCCTTCTGTAAGAAAAGACCACAGGGCCCATGGCCGTCCGGTTTGCTCTGGAGAATCTCACGCAGAAGGCAGGCATGTTTCTTTAAAAAAACGCACGAATTACAGACAAAAGGCATGCGCTCCCGCAAAAGGCCCTGGTCAGGCTTGATTTCAATCTCGATTGCTGCCATTTATCCCCTGTGTAAGTTTCTTAAAATCTCGGTGCCTCAGTTTCTTCATCTGTGAGAGGCAGAAGATAACCATAGTAGTTATCTATCGCGGAAGATAACTATTTTAAAAATTAAATGACGCAAAGCACGTAAAGTCCTTGGCACACAGAAAGATGTCAATAACGGGTAGTTCTTATGATTTTTAAAAGTGACATGTGATGGGAACAAATAGGTTAATGATTCGAAACCGCTTTGTATCACAGCCAAGCATTCTACAAACGTCGCGTGCTCTTTCCCCGCCACGGTGTGGCCCCACATAGACCCGGAGGTGCAGGGCAGGCGAACTTAGCGGCTCCTAGCGAAGTCCACAGCTCTCCGGTCCGAGGGAAGCAGAGCTGCAGCAGACTGGTTTACCCGGGCGACGCCTCCCCCAGACCCCAGGCGCCCCTCCACGCATTCACAGCCCTCAGCTCCGCGCCTTTGGGATGAGCCTCCCCGTCCCCCACTCCAGCTGCGCTCGGGGAGCCAGAGGCCCCGCGAAAGAGCGGAAGAGAAACCCTCCCCCAACCTTGGCGCTCTGACGCTTATCAACGCCCTAAACTTTGTACCGACCCTCTTGTCGCCGTAGGCCAAAGGTCTCCCCTGCTTCCCGCCGAAAGGGGCAAGAAGCGCGCGTCCCGGGTGCGTACCCCCTTCCCCACTCCCAGGCCACCCCACCGCTTCCCGGAGACCCAGCCCTAGACTAGCCCCCCGGCGGGCCACCAAGGAGAACTTGGAGAAGGGAGGTCACGGAGTGAGAGAGCACAGAGAGGGCCACAGAGGGTGCGGAGCGGGAGAGGAAGGACCAGAGCGGGAGGGTAGGAGAGACTCACGCTGGATAGCCTCCAGGCCAGAAAGAGAGAGTAGCGCCAGCACGGCTAAGGCCACTGAGCGAGACATCTCGGCCCGGGTGCTGTCCGCCGCTGGAATGCCCGCCGGGCGCGACGCCTCCACTTATATTCCGTGGGTGCCCAGCCAATCAGGGCAAGGCCCGCGGGGACCGTCACCAGTCTCCAAGCCAGCGACGCAGTGCTAGGTTAGAGAGAGGGACTTTCCCGTTTTCGGTTTCCTTTTCTTAGAGTCTGGTGATGTTTAAGAAGGCATGCACTAGATTGGGTGGGTTTGCTGCCTGTACATCGGCGCCCTCCGATCTGGGGTGCGCGCCCCAGCTTGGGACACGCGGCGCTCATTCTAGGACTTCAGCTGGAGGCACCTTAAGGCCCCCTCCTCGCATTGCAAACTGGTCCCAGAGATACTAAGTGACTTGCTAATGGTGCCCCAGCCAGTTAAGGACTTGGACCTGCATTTTTCATTCGAGAAAACTGAAACCCAGAAGATTAAGATCGTTGAATGCTACCTAGCAGGAGAACTTCGGTTTATAACTACAGCTCGGGAATTCGCTGCAGCGTTTCTCGATTCTCTGGGCAACAAAAATAGTCCCAGACGCATTCTGAGCACAGCTCAGAGAAGGTCCTAGCGAACGAGTACCTTTCTTGCTTCTTGAATCCCTTCAGGAAAAAGTGTTTGGAAAGTTCTGAGCCAAGAAGTTCCTCCCTGTGTCCTTGCTATTTAGGTAATTTTCTTTGTTCTGTTGATTTGTGGGGGGTGGGGGAGAACCACTAATAGTAAAAGCAGTAACTGCTTAGGGCTTTAGAGCTTCCAGCACCCTCCAGGTACAACATTCTCTTAGTTTCCACCCTAGAACAGGGACTGGCACATAGTAGGTACTCAGTAAACTGAATGAATGAATGGATGGATGGATGAATGAATTAGTGAATATATAAATAAACTGTAGGAGGAAAGAATTCCCCCATTCGTTTTATGAACAGGGGAAACAAAGGCTAAGAGACTAGAATTCAAACTCTGGCCTGATTCCATTGACATTCATAATTTAGACACTGGAAGACAAAGGGCTTGGCAATTTTAGTGAGAGTTTGGACTCAGCCAAGGACGTTAAACATGACAGGCAGACCCATTAAGAAAACCTACACTCTAAAGTGACCGTAAATAAGGTGCTGCCATTTCGTAGTGGCGGAATCCACAGGTCTTTTCTAAGAGGAACAGTGAGAAGAGGAAGTGGACCATGGGGATGGGGAGGGGCAGAGATCTTGGAAGTCACCATGGTTTTCAGCTGAAAGGATTTGCCTAGCTTCCCCAAGGAGCACAACAAATACCTTCTAGGTTTCTTTTACATATTTTTAGGCTTTTGATAATCCTTATTGTGGAGGCCATGCCTAAACTAAGAAAATGCAATACTCTCCATGGACCTAATGAAATGAGATAATGCACAAGAGAGAGCCTCCCACAATGCCTGGTACATAATACGTGTTCTGTAGTGTATAATAAGTGCTATAATTATTAATATTATTTACCTAGTTTTTCTACCAGCCCTCTCAAAAACTAAAATATAAGAATAATTGTTATGCACAAGTTTATGAAATGAGACACTCTTGCTCCCTCCCTTCTTCCCCTTTTAAAAACTCATATAAGGCACTAAAGGCCTGAAATGTTAGTGCTGAATTGTACTAGAAACGTGCCTTAGAAGTTTAGCAAGGGGCAGGGCTATTTTTGCCTCTAGTTTCTTGTTTACTACATCACAGAGAAATACTAAATTTAAAATTCATTACAGATAGATTCTGACTTACTTGGAAAACCAATTTAAAAAGCAATAAAAAAACAGTACAGACAGAAAAAAGTCTATTTTACAGTTTTTGGTGGGTGGGGAATACCTGTATTTTTCTTGGATTTACCATTTATGACATGTTTTGAATAGTGAGGGTGAAAATTATATATACAACTATTTGTTTAAAAACAAGAGCACTGTTTGCCTAGGAGGGCAAATTTGGGAAGTCTACAAACATGACAATGTCCTTTTCTTTAATTTTTAATTTTTTTGTGGAGACAGACTCTTGCTATGTTTTCCAGGCTGGTCTTGAACTCCTGGTCTCAAGTGATCCTCCTTCCTCAGCCTCCCACAGTGCTAAGATCACAGGCATGTGTTACCACGCCCAGCCACAAATATGACAGTTTAATAACTTTGTCTCCCTGTAGTGCAATTAACAGATTAACAGCGGCCTTTTTTTTCCCTATATAACCTTCTTAAATTTTTTTTACAATGAACATTTATTCAAAATAGTAAATGTTGGCAAGAATTTAGAAGAACTGGAACTCTCATACAATCCTGGTGGGAATATAAAATGGTATAAACAATTTTGGGCTGGGCATGGTGGCTCACACCTGTAATCTGAGCACTTTGGGAGGGCAAGGCGGGCGGATCACTTGAGACCAGGAGTATGAGACCAGCCTGGTCAACATGGTGAAACCCTGTCTCTACTAAAAATACAAAAATTAGCTGGGCATGGTGGCAGGCATCTGTAACTCCAGCTGCTCAGGAGGCTGAGGCAGGAGAATCACTTTAAGCTGGGAGTCAGAGGTTGCAGTGAGCTGAGATTGCACCACCATACTCCAGCCTGGGCAACAGAGCAAGATTCTGTCTCAAAAAAAAAAAAAAAAAAAGGAAAACACTTTGACAGCTCTTTATAAAGTTAAACATACACTGGCCATTAGATCCAGCCACTCCACCCAAGGTATTTCCCCAAGAGAAAACGAAAGCATATGTCTAAACAAAGACTTGGACATTAATGTTTCCAGCAGTTTTATTTGTGATAGCTTAAACTAGAAATGATCCAACACACATCAACAGGTAAATGAATAAACCCATTGGAGTATATATCCATACAATGAAATATTATCATCAACAAATAAGGAAAAAACTGTTGATACATGTAACATGGATGAAATAATCATGGTAAGTAAAAGAAGTCAGACAGAAAAGAGCATATACGATATGATTCTGTTTATATAAAACTCCAGAAAAGGCAAACTATAATCTATATGACAGAAAGTAGATGAGTCGTTTCTAGAGGGAAAGGAGATCATCTAAACATGAGGAAACTTTTGGGTTGATGGATATGTTAATTATCTAGAGTTTGATGATGATTTCAGTTATATTTTAGAACTTATTGTATACTTTAAGTGTAATTTATTGTATGTCGATTATAAATATTTAAAAGGACATAGCCAGGGAAGGTAGAGCAAGATGGCTGAATAGAAGCCTCCACTAATCCTGCTCCCTGCAGGAACACCATATTGAATAACTATCCACGCAAAAAAAGCACCTTCATAAGAACGAAAAATCAAGTGAGCAATCACAGTACCTGGTTTTAACTTCATATCACTGAAAGAGGAACTGAAGAGGGTAAGACAGTCTTGAACTGCTAAATGCTGTCTCTCCCCCATTCCCCGGCAGCAGCCACCTAGCATGGAGAGAGAATCTGTGCTTCTGGGAGAAGAAGAGTGCAGTGATTGTCACACTTTGCACTGGCACTCAGTGCTGCCCAGTCATAGCACAAAGCAACACTGGAAAGAACTCACCCAGGGCCCATGGAGGATCATTCAGACCAGCCCTAGCTGGAAGCAAATCATCCATCCCAGCAGTGGGAACCTGAGTTCCAGTAAGCCTCACCACCATGGGCTGAAGTGCTCTGAGGTGCTACATAAACTGGAAAGGCAGTCTAGGCCACAAGGATGGCAATTCCTGGGCAAGTCCTGGTGCTGTGCTGGGCTCAGAGCCAGTGAATGTGGGGTACACAACCTAGTGAGACGCCAGCTGGGATGGCCAAGGGATTGCCTGCACCACTCCTCTCCCAACCCCAGGCAGCGGAGCTCAAAGCTCAGAGAGAGACTTCTTTCCTCTGCTTGAGAAGAAGAGAGGGAAGAACAAAGATGACTTTGTCTTGCATCTTGGATACCAGCTTGGCTGCAGTAGGATAGGGCACCAGGCAGAGTCCTGAGGCCCATATTCCAGGCCATAGCTCCAAGCTGACATGTCTAGCCACACCCTGGGCCAGAAGGGAACCTGCTGCCTTGAAGGGCAGGACCAGTCCTGGCAGGATTCCTCCCCAGCTGACTAACGAGCCCTTTGGCCCTGAATAATCAGAAGTAGCCAGGTAGTACTCATTGTGGGCTTTGGGTGAGACTCAGAGACATGCAGGCTTCAGGATGACCCAGCACATTCCAGCTGTGGCGGCTATGGGGAGAAATTCCTTCTGCTTGAGAAAAGAAGAGGAAAGAGTAAAGGGGACTTGGCCACTGTGGGGTTAGAATACAAAGTGGGCTCTTAGGGTCCCTGATTCCAGGCTTTGGCTCTTAGATAGCATTCCTGGACCTGCTCTGGGCCAGAGGGGAGCCCACTTCCCTGAAGGGTGAGTCCCAGGCCAGGCAGCATTCACCACAAGCTTACTGAAGAGCCCTTGGGCCTTGAGTATACATCAGCAGTAGCCAGACAGTACCCATCACAGGCCTGGGGTGGAAGTGGCCATGGGAAGAGACTTCTCAGCTTGTGGAAAGGGGAGGGAAAAGTGGGAAGGACTTTGTCTTGTGGCTTGGGTGCCAGTTCAGCTGCAGTACAATAGAGTACCAAGTAGATTCCTAAGGTTTCTGATTAGGCCCTAGCTCCTGGAAGGCATCTCTGGATTCACCCCAGGCTGGGGGGAACTTGCCACCCTGAAGAGGACATAAGCTTGGCTGGCTTTGCCACCTGCTGATTTTAGAGCCATAGGGCCTTGCGTGAACGTAAGTAGTAGCCAGGTACTGGTTACCGTAGGCCTTGAGCAAGACCCAGTACTGTGCTGGCTTCACCTCTGACCCTGCACAGTCCCAGTGGTGTTGGTCACAGGGGTGTTTGTGTCACTTCTCCCCCAACTCCAGGCAGCTGATCACAGAAAGACAGACTTTGTCTGGGGGAAAGAAAGGAAGACAATAAGAGTCTCTGCCCGGTAATCCAGAGAATTCTTCCAGATCTTATCCAAGACCACCAAGGCAGTGCTTCCATGAGTAATCAGTGTTAACTTGTCAGCGGTTTAAAATAATGAGTAATAAAATATTATCTGCAAACAT